GACCCCAAAAGTACGAGCCAAATATCTAGTCTGAAAATTTGTGCACCAGAAAGGCTATGTTCCTATTTTTGAGCTCAAAGTTCGTTCCAAATAGCAAAATAGAATCGGCTTCATTATCGGAACAAAACACAAGGGTTGAATAGAGAGAAAGAGATAGAAATGGTGATGAGAAAATGGCCAGAACAAAGAAGGGGAAAGGAAGAAAGGGGAAAGGAGTGAAAAAGTTGAGGACAAGGGTTCATCTATCCCACTTCAGGTCCCAGGCTCCCCTTGTCGTCGGCCTTATTACTCGGGGAACCCTGACGGAGACTAATTGCGTTACTGGGACCCCCGTTTTCTCTTTTCTCTCCTCTGTCCCCAACTCTGACTTCTTCATTTCCTTGAAAGTGTTGTGCTTCTTTTTTTGCTTTCCAGTTCTTTCCACCGGAAAACTTGGAAACACTTTATCGCATCATTTCAAAAAGCGCAAATTTTTCTCCAAAAATTTATGATTATTGATCGAGTTATTGGGTTTTTTTTTTTGAATTTGCTCATCTGATTTCACAAAGCCAATTTTTCACTGCTTCTTTCAAATCTTGGTGGCATCAGTTGTATTCCTTCATATTTCGTTTTTGAGATCTATGCATTTTCTTACAGAAAATCCGGCTGCGACTATGCTTACATCAGGGAGGCTTTTGGACCAATTTAGACTTTCAAAAAAAAAAACTTGTTCTTTTTTACAACAGTACACCTTTAAAGTACTTCTCAGACTTCAAATCTAATATTGAACTTTCCTCGACTGAAAGTCAGTGAAAGTTAGACTGAAAGACGCGAAATCCTGCCTACGGGCCTGGCCGTAATTATCAACAATTGAAATTGAATGCTAAATTTCTCCCACAAGCTCATTACTCATGATCCGGAATAAATAGTAATTAAAAGGGGCGGACTGTATGGGGGATGTGCCAAAAGCTCCCAAACAAGGCTGTTTATTTTAGAGTGAGTCAGTTTTGCAACAGGAGAACGATCTTTGACTTGGAGGGCCTATTCTTCTTTAGGGATTCATTCACCTTTCCCAACTGTTCACTGTATTTGATTGCAATAAAGGTCGTCTTGCTATCCAGCAACTCCCAGTACACCACTCCTCCATATCTCAGAAAACGCAGAGCAGAAACTTCTTCTGGTGCAAATTTTGGGGTCACTTTCGGGTTTCTCGCTTGGCCTCATCCATTGCCGCTTCCTCTTCTTCTTCTTCGATTTCTGCCCATTTTACAGGCAATTTGCGGATTCCCCTTTCCTAGTAGGATTTTGGTTTGTGTGTGAGACAATTGTGAGACTCAAAAATAGAGGAATGTCCCAGTTTGAGCACTTTCTTCAAAAGAAACCCATTTTGGTGTCAATGGAAAAGTTGTAGAGAATCAAAAATCAAGCTCATATCCAAATTTTCAGAACGATTCAAAAACTGGTTTTCAAGAAATGCCAAATTTACGAATTTTCACAAATGAAATGACGGAGGGGGGAGGGGGGGAGGGTTACGGTATCTGTCTGTCTTTCTGTCTGTCTTTCTGTCTGCCTTACTGTACGCGCATTTTTCCAGTCGTATTTTGACCAATATTTCATTTTTCATTTTGGTTTTCAAGAAAAGCCAAATTTACGCCAAATTGTGCCAATTTTTCACAAAACTTGCATTTTAAGCGAAACTACTAAGTGTAGCTTTTTGGAAATTTGGCTATAAGCCTAATTTTTGATTCTCTACAACTTTTCCATTGACACCAAAATGGGTTTCTTTTGAAGAAAGTGCACAAACTGTGACAAACGCGGGGCGCGTATAAAAGGTGGAACATACGCCCCCTTTGCCATTGGCAATCTAACTTTTTTGCTTAAATATCTTTGTGTTGGGCTGTTCAATTGAAATAGTTTTTGTACCAATCGACAGAGAAAGACTTGGCGCATCTGATGATACCAAGAATATTTAAAATGAACAGCTCAACATCAAGATATTTGAGTTCAAAGTTTGATTGCCAATGGCAAAGAGAGCGGGCCATCAAATGTCCCACAATCTTTCCTAAATGTCAGCAGGCCTGCCTTTTTAAAAGAACAGCTCAACATCAAGATATTTGAGTTGACAATAGCCGGCAGTTTTCAATTCACCAACCCAATATTTTGATTTCGAGAAATATTCACTGATTCATCACTAAATCTTCCTTTTTTCCAGCTTTCAACTTTCAACTTCTCTTTTTCCAACTCCTGTCATCAATACCCCATTTTTTTTGCCCAAACTCTTGCGTGTTTAGTTGAAAAATATTCCTACGAAATTGCGATTTATTTGGCTTTATTTTATTTCTCCAAACTGCCTCCAAACTTTCATTTATTTCAAGACGAAAGGTCAATTTGAATTTCTTTTGAAGGTGGTAAAAGGTAAATGAGGGTTTAAAGTTAATAAAAGATCTAAGCCACTGTCAGTACGGTTTACTCGTAAATAAATCAAAGCTCAATAGCTCAATACTCAATCAAAGCTCAAATTTCCTTCAGAATAGTTAACTACAAGTGTTCTGGATTTGTCTTAAGTAAGTAGTAGTCTTAAGTAGCCATAAAATTAGTAATCAAGGTTAGATAAACGGATCAAGGATAATCAAGGATCCAACTTGTCTCGGTCATGTTTTTTTCCAGTTTACCTAATTGTTCGCTATTTTATTTTCGAATTTAGCAGCTCAACTGACTACTGTACTATTTGGCTCAACTGACTACTATACTATTCGGCTGAGATTAGAGTTTTCTAGTGTCTAAGTCGCTTGCGGCGCGCTGGAAGCGTGTTATTCAATGTTATTCAATCAAAATATCCATTTTTGAAAACATGCATTAAATCTCAACCTTCTAAAACGTGCCTTAATTATATCTCTAGTGCTTAACCAATCTATTGGTTTATCGATTTTGTTACGTTTGACTCTTTTCTACTCTTTTCCTACTCTTTTCTATTCTTTTCTACTCTTTTCTACTCTTTTCTACTCTTTTTCTACAAGGTTTCTACAAGATTATTGCAACCACCTTCAATTTCCATCAATTTCCATCAATTTCCATCAATTTCCATCAATTTCCATCAATTTCCATCAATTTCCATCAATTTCCATCAATTTCCAACAACTTTCTTGACATAATTAAGAAAGATCTTCTTGCGTAAGCCAAAAATCTCTTTGGCAATAGGATTTGTGTTTTATGCAGGATAATACTCATGCTCATAAGGCTTGAGTGGTTCAGGACTGACGCAAGCAACATTTTTCCGATTTGGCCACCTTTAGTCGTCACCCTCAAGTCCCGATCTTAATCCGATGGATTTCAGTCTTTGCAATGTTCTTGAAGCAAAAACGTGCTCAAAACCGCATTCCAGCATCGATTTGCTTAAGAAATCTCTTTAAAAAGCATGTAATAAACTCGATCCAACTTGCCATTTGGCCACAGTGGATGCATAAAAGCTTTTCCCAAAGGTTATCGGACATTTAATACAAGCTGCGCCCCTTTTGCCATTGGCAATCTATCTTTCAGCTCAAATATCTTGGTGTTGGGCTGGCCAATTTAAATACTCCTGGTTTCATCAGATGCGCCAAGTCTTTCTCTATCGATTGATACAAAAAATATTTAAATTGAGCAGCCCAATACCAAGATATTTGAGTTGAAAGTTGGATTGCCAATGGGAGAAAGGCGGGGCGCGTATCAAATGTCCCAGAATCCACCAGAGAGTCGTTTTCAATTCTTGAGTACAAAAACCTTAAGCAAACCTACGAATTGTTAACGGCGAAGGAGCGGGGTGCCTAGGTCCGCTCGTCCGTCGGTCCGTCGCCCCGCCCGCTCTGCCATTGGCAATCTAACTTTGAACTCAAATATCTTGGTGTTGAGCCGTTCAATTGAAATAGTTTTTGTACCAATCGACAGAGAAAGTCTTGGCGCATCTAATGAAACTAAGCATATTTAAATTGAACAGCCCAACACGAAGATATTTGAGTTCAAAGTTAGATTGCCAATGGCAAAGAGGTGGGCAAGTATTCAATGTCCCACAATCTTTCCTAAATGTCACCAGGCCTGCATTTCTGCCTTTTTAAAAGGGAATAGTTTTGCTTGTTTAATATATCTTTAAAAATCAATTGTTAAAGTTTTTCTCATCAATTGTTCGAGTTAATTTCTCTTTTATCGGTTTCTATCCTTAAAAATAATTGATTGCAATAATTCTGTAGTTAGAAACGTTAGAATTAAAACGTTAGAACAGTTAGAATAAACGAAAAGCTCAATTTTCTTAATGATCCCGGAGTCCAGGGTGAAGGGAACCTCATCTCAATGACTGGAAGCGTCATCGGGGATGCGTCCACTGAATGAGGGGGTTCCGCAGCCCTTTCCTTTCCCCATTCTCCTCATGATCCCCCACTCATCCCGTTATTTCCTACCGCTTGATGGGCACCAAAAAAAACGCTATTTCCTTTTTTATATAACATATAAACGCCACTGAAGCATTTTTGGGTTTATTGCCGGGATTTTATCATTTCCAAAGCGCTCATTTCTCATTTCCAAAGCGTTTCGTTTCCTTTTTGAGATCATGATTTGTGTGCATAGATAGATTTTAAGTCTATTATATTACATACCGTAAATACTGTAATAGTACCCCATCCCCCTCGTACATTCGCGTAGTCGCAAAAGTTTTAGTATAAGTTTTTTTAGTATTTCATTTTTTTCAAAGCGCCCGTACTTTGAAAAAATGCGTCTTTGGTATCAAAAAATAGCTGAAATTCAGGGCTATTTTTTGAAACCAAAACGAACATTGTAGCATAAACCAGTGTCGAGAAAAACTCGTTCAAAGCTAGACTACGCAACACACCGCACCGTCATTATGGGGGTGGGGTACTATTACAATATTTACGGTAAATGCTTTTTAGATATTTATTGATATAGTAATTGATATAGTGATTTATATAGTAATTCATATAGTAATTCATATAGTAATTTTTCTATTCCTAAAAATTACCCTTACTATTTTGCAGATGCTGCACCCGGCGAGGCCGAACTCCTTCAGTCTCGTCTCGATCAGCTGAATCGATTGCAACTTGAGGTAATTTGAATTGAAAGATATAGCTAGACATAGCTAGACATAGCTAGATATAGCTAGATATAGCTAGACATAGCTAGATATAGCTAAATATAGCTAGATATAGCTAGATATAGCTAGATATAGCTAAATATAGCTAGATATAGCTAGATATAGCTAGATAAAATATGAAAATATTATTGGATTATGGATCAATGTGTTTGGATATCTCGTGTGACTTGGATATCTCGTGAAATCATATCCTGCCTAGTATACTTAACTCACTCTTAATGGCCGAATTCCTTGGACAGGCAACTCTCTAACCCTACACTTAATGGACGGTCCTTACATAGCTTGTTCTGGCGGTGAAGAGATGGCGAAGGCTACCCGCTTTACAGAGCTAGCACCTTTACTACTCTATCCATCTAACCAAAGCCAGACGAGTCTACAGCACTACAGCCTACAGCACAGCCTACAGAGAAGAGATCCCTGGCTCATCTCATGGACTCGAACCAGAGACTAACCGAGTCCGACGTTGCTTAACTTGTTAACTGTTAACTGTTAAGCTTAACTGTTAACCGTTAAGCTTAACTGACGGGATACCGTCTCTCAGCATGGCGAGGCCGTAGGAAGTTAACAAAGTTAATATTTTGAAAAAATCCGGGTTTTTCAACGGCTCGTCACACTTTGAAGGCTTATAACTTTGTCCAGAGATAATATTTCTCTTAACTTTTGATATCATTGTACAGAGAACATTTTTGGCTTTCAAATAATACCAAATAGAGTTTGATTGGAAAATCGAGTCCAAGAAAATCAGAGCCAACTCTGAGCAAATGCCTATTCAACTCGACTGTCATTTCGCCTTGTTTTTCTTGGACTGAATTATCCAATCAAGCTCTATTTGGTATCATTTGATAGCCAAAAATGTTCTCTGTACAATGATATCAAAAGTTAAGAGAAATATTATCTCTGGACAAAGTTATAGGCTTTCAAAGTGTGACGAGTCGTTGAAAATACCCAGAAACTGCGCAAGAACCGGAAGAACTGCAAGTACTTTCTTTTGTACCCAGGGGTTTTGATTTGGAAGCTCTTTGACTCAGTTTATGTCTCAGAACTTCATCTATCAACAAGATAATGACTCAAAACAGCTTGAGCTCGCCTAGTTTCTCATTGGTTCACGCAACAAGGAATTTCATGATGTGATTTAATGAAGTGATTTAATGATACTGATAGAGTGGCCAAGTCAAAGTCCGGATTTAAACTCTATTGAGTATGGGAAGCTGTAGCTGTAGCTGTAGAAGCTGTAGCTGTAGTTGAAGAAGCTGTAGCTGTAGCTGTAGCTGTAGTTGAAGAAGCTGTAGCTGTAACTGTAGCTGTAGCTGTAGCTGTAGCTGTAGCTGTAGAAGCTGTAGCTGTAGCTGTAGCTGTAGCTGTAGAAGTAAAAAGAAGCTGTAGTTGGTTTCAACGCATAGGAGAAATTTGATCTTCTAGTCAAGAATGTGTTAATTGTATCGACAAGTTGAAGTTCTTTCAGGTGGACGCCTCATTGCCTCCTCGAGCGCCCCTTAATCACTGTAAGTTTATACAAAGAAATCTCTTTAACTTAAAGTTTAAAGTTTTCTTTAACTTAAAGTTAAGTTTTCAAATTCTATAGAAATTAAAGCTTTAGATCTTCTTGGAGTTTTAGAGCTTTAGGGTTTTTAGAGCTTTAGAGTTTGTAGATTAATAAATAAGTTTGAAAAGTTTTAGGCTTTTTCAAAATATCAAAATATACAAAAATGAAATGGAAATTTTCTAAAGTTATAAGCTTTTCAAGTTGGATTTTCTTTAATTAAGAAAAAAGTTTAGGCTATTTTAAATGAATAAAGATTTAGATAAAGATAAAGAAGCTTTAGATAAAGATGAAGAGGCTTTAGATAAAGAAAGAAGCTTTAGATAAAGATGAAGAGGCTTTAGATAAAGAAAGAAGCTTTAGATAAAGATAAAGAAGATTTAGATAAAGATGAAGAGGCTTTTGATAAAGATAAAGAAGCTTTAGACAAAGATAAAGAAGCTTTGGATAAAGATTTAGAGCCTATCTTCTGTTAAACTACTTTTACAATTCAGTCTTTATAAATTTCCATTGTAAAGGTTCTGGAAATTTGTCCAGCATTGTATAACATTGTAGGTAACAAGTTACATTGTAGGCTTAACAAGTAACAAGTTCAATCATTTCAGCCGGCTACTCTGAAGACAGTGATTACACATCGGACGTCTCATTTCCCATTCACCCCAACTCGTCTCACCCAAACTCTTCGGTTCATCAGTGGGATTCACATCTGCATCCACATCGACCCCATCACCGGCACAACACCGGCAACCATCACGATCACATTGTGAGTGCCGTTTGTTTTGTTAAGTAACAGCAGTAACAGCTAGATGAACAGCATACTGTACTTTTTAGCATAACATTTATTTACTGATGATTAAAAGCCTTGATACTTTAGCTTTAATATAGCTGAGGAGTTCATTAGCTTTGATTTAGATAAGTAGTTCATTAGCTTTGATTCAGCTAAGGAGTCCTTTAGCTTTGATATAGCTAAGAAGTTCTTTAACTTTGATTTAGCTAAGGAGTTCATTAGCTTTGATATAGCTAAGTAGTTCTTTAGCTTTGATTTAGCTAAGTAGTTCTTTAGCTACGTAGTTCTTTATCTAAGTAGTTCTTTAGTTAAGTAGTTCTTTATCTAAGTAGTTCTTTATCTAAGTAGTTCCCTAACTAAGTAGTTCTTTATCTAAGTAGTTCTTTATCTAAGTAGTTCTTTATCTAAGTAGTTCTTTAGCTAAGTAGTTCTTTAGCTAAGTAGTTCTTTAGCTAAGTAGTTCTTTAGTTAAGTAGTTCTTTAGTTAAGTAGTTCTTTAGCTAACTAGTTTTTTTAAATTCTAATCCCGGCTTCAGACTTTACAGGCCTCATATGAGGGAGATGAGGATGCGTACAATGAGACACGGATTGATCAAGATTACGGTTGGTGTTTGGTTTGTTGAAAATTTTAAGCTTATTTTACAGCTTACAGATAGATTTACGTAAAGAATCTAAGATCTTTAGGCGTATTACTGTAGTATTAATTGTAGTACTTTCCGAAATCCGACTCCTCGGGCAAGCGCCGCTTTAAAGACTCAATTACCTCAATAACTCAATTACAATGACTCAGTTACCGTAATTAGAGCGGTTACCAGTGTCAGCGTTCGGGAAAATCTCACTAACTTTATTTGAAACAAGACTCGACTGATGAATCTATGGAGATATTTTCTAGATGAAGCTGTGACTCGCCACTACGACTCAAACGATTACGACTATCGAGCCGAAGACGAGAATCAACGCGTTTCACGGAGAGACGAAGAGGAAGACGAGTTGTATCAAAGGCATCGCATAGATTCAACAGACATCGACCCCACTCATAATTATCCCTCCCAAGGAGGAGGCCCGTCAAGGGGCAGACAAGGGAGACAAGCAGCGACACGCGAGAACAACACGCATTATCATCATGATGAGGTGAGCTGCCTAGCCTCATGATGAGGTAATAAGGTTGGATAAAAGAGTCAACGGGTTCTAATAATTTTAATATACCGTATTCTCTCTAATAGTAGTGCACCCCGGCGAGCCGAGCTACAGCCAAGATATAGCCTAAAAACTGTTTGTGGCCAGCCTATGCGGCCAGCCTAAAAGGGCAATGTCCGTCCGTCTGTACGGGCTTTTTCTCAGCCGTCTTTAGGCAAAAAAAACTGAAATTTTTAAAAGTCTTAAACTATAATATAGTTGTATCATTTACAACAAAAAAAAGCGTTAAAATTGAGTGACATTACGGGGAGTCGAGGCCGAGTCGTGTGGGCCGTAGAAAAGCGCGCTCCCGGCTGCGCCACGGCGACGAAGTTTGAATTAGCTAGCAACTAGCATACGTACTCGAGAAACGAGAAACGTACTCGAGTAGTGGGTGAAGCTGGTGTAACAAGAGTGAAACAGAGAAGCTGGTGTAGCAAGAGTGAAGCAGAGAAGTTGGTGTAGCAAGAGTGAAGCAGAGAAGTTGGTGTAACATAATGCCTGCCCAGATCAACCAGGTCAGCCAATCTAGCTAGGTCCGGCAATTTTTCATTCTGCCAGTTATTAAGCCAGCAAGACCAGGCTCAGAGTACCGCATGACCTTAGGCCGAGGGTTTTCTGGCCTTTTTGGCTACCCTTATCAACCCTTATGGCCTTGTCAATACGCGACTGTGCCAGTTCTTGAACCCTACAGCCCTTGGATCAAAGTAATCTCAGTAATCAAAGTAATCAAAGTAATCAAAGTAATCTCTTAGATGAAGAAAGAAAAAACCAGAAGCGGGGGTTGAACTAGGAAACCTTCGAACACGAGCTGAGGTCACTAACCACTCGGCCTAAGCCTAAGCCTAAGCCTAAGCCTAAGCCTAAGCCTAAGCCTTGATAACCGTTTAGCCTGATAATGACAAGAAAGAGCTTTATATAGTATTTAGTTCCACTTCTACAGTATATTGAAACTAAGAATCGGGAGGATTCGTGATATCGTGAGAATCGTGAGAACGAATAATCAGAACGAACAAGAAAATGCAAAGGAAAACTTCAATCTTCAGCAAGAATTCAACTTTAGAACATCGGCTACAGTATTTTAAGCATTTCAAAGTTTTCTTTAATATTAGCTTAGCTTTCTCTGATTTCTTTTAAGCATTTCAAAGCTTTTTGAACAAATTATCAAAATTCAGAGCCGCTATGATCAATACCGAAGCGAGGACGAGTCAACGTACAAAGGAGAAAGTCGAGCACATGGATACGTTGATCATTATGGTAAGGATTGATTAGATAAAAAAGGGTTTAGATTAGATAAAAAAAGAGTTAAAAAAGGGTTATTTCTAAAACTTTAATATCAAAGCAGGCTTGATTGAACCAGAGTTAGCAAAAATTGAAACAAGATTTAGAGTTAACAAGATTTAGACTCAGCTTCTGCCTACGATCAGCAACAAGAGGACGATTACGGAGATGAGTATGGCGTGTCTGAGATGGAATACGATGGATATCATCCAAAAAATCCAAGAGAAGTGCTTATGGATCGACGAATCGACAGTCCGCATACGCCACAAGTTAGTTGGAGAAATGAAAAGGATGTAAAACGTTTGAAGGATACTGTAATGTACTGTAGGTTCTGAAGGATGCTATAGGTTTTGTAGGATACTGTGGGTTCTGAAGGATACTGTAGGTTCTGAAGGATGCTATAGGTTTTGTAGGATACTGTGGGTTCTGAAGGATACTGTAGGTTCTGAAGGATGCTATAGGTTTTGTAGGATACTGTGGGTTCTGAAGGATACTGTAGGTTCTGAAGGATACTATAGGTTCTATAGAATAGTGTGGGTTCTGTAGGATACTGTAGGTTCTGTAGAATACTGTAGGTTCAAGGAGTGTTCTTATCGTTAGCTGCATTGCCTCCTTGAGTCTTACAGAATCCTACGCTACAGTAAGATACTGTAAGAGTACTTCAAGGTACTATAGTATACTGTATGTACCGTAGGGTTCAGTGGGCTTTGAAAGGTACTATAAAACTGCGGTAGGGGACTGTACAATATTGCAGCTTACTGTAGGTAATGTAGGTAATGTAGGTAATGTGGGTAATGTAGGTAATGTAGGTAATGCAGAAAACTGTAGGATACTGTAGGATACTGCAGAATACTGTAGAAAACTGTAGCTTCAATGCTGTATAATACTTACAGGATCTTTAAAATCCGGCCAAGAAAAACCGTCTCTTGTTTCAGAGCGATTACTCGCGGAGTGTGAGCGCCGCTGGACGCCCGTCTTCTCAAGCCAATCACACGTATGCCAGTGAGTAAAATGTCTATCAAATACTATAAATCGATAATCGGAAACAGATAACAATGCCATGAAATTGCAATTGACTAACTTGCGACAATTTAGGCTACGGCCACAATGGTTACGGTGATGAGTATGGGCAAAATAATGGATATCGAGAAGAGGACGAGGATCGGTGAGGGTTTTTTCGATATTATTATGTTAAAAAGAAAGTTCTCGGAAAAAGTTTATACTGTAATTTATCATAAACTAGAAAACGAAGTTTATTCAAGGTATGCCACATTATTCTGTAGGTTCTGTAGGTTACTATAGGTTCTGAAGGATACTTCTGAAGGATACTTCTGAAGTATAACTTGTTGCCATTTATTTGGTAGAACACGGATTCCCTTCTCCCAGAAATTCTTTGGCTGGCCGTCAAAGAAGTCGCATAGCCAGGTTTCGACCTGAGCTCGGTCTCCGACGCTCTATCTGAGCTCGGTCTACGACTCTCCATCGAGTTCTGCAGCCAGCAATAGATGAGCATCAGAAGGGGCAAGGTTTGGGCTGTACGATGGGGAGAACTTCCCAGCTCAACTCCTTTAATTTTTCCTTTGTCAGCTTTGCAATAGGTCTCGCATCGTGTTGAAGGAGGATTTTTCCCTTGTTTGGTCTTGTTTTTTTGATTTCTTTCGCGAGTTCTAGTTGTTTTAGTTCTTCTAGTTCTTTTAGTTCTTCTAGTTGTTTTAGTTCTTCTAGTTGATTTAGTTCTTCTAGTTCTTTTAGTTCTTCTAGTTGTTTTAGTTCTTCTAGTTCTTTTAGTTCTTCTAGTTGATTTAGTTCTTCTAGTTGTTTTAGTTCTTTTAGTTCTTTTAGTTCTTTTAGTTCTTTTAGTTCTTTTAGTTCTTTTAGTTGATTTGTATAAATTAAAGCTGTAACTGTAAGCTGTAACTGTCTTTTCTCAGCAACTCCCAGTATATAGGTCTATCGAGATCCCACCAAATACTCCATCTTCTTCTGGTGGAGTTCGAATTTGGGTTTAGGTTTTGGCTTTGAAAAACTCCGAGGACTTTCTTTCCAATCCAATCTGAGCAAACAAACAAACAAACAAACAAACAAACAAACAAACAAACAAACAAACAAACAAACAAACAAACAAACAAACAAACAAACTGATATAAACTTAATTCCTTGTAAACGTATCAATATTATATTTTAGATATATCAGCGATGGTGGCAAGGGCTACACAGCTGATTACGATACATATGGAGAAGGGACCTCGGAGCCGATGAGAGAGGAAGATGACGGGAGGAGGTACTGGGAATCGATAAAAGATAAAGATAAAGATATTGAATTATGGATAAAAAGATAGTTATCTTGTAAAATATTATATTAGATTAAGTATTATAAATTTCTTTAGAAGCTCGACCTGGGCCGACACAGAGCCATTGTCCTACAACAGCCGACCGCCACGATCGAATTCCAGGTGAATAGAATCGATTTTTGGGTGATTGAGCCTTCGCCCCCGTGAAATAAAATCTCGTTTTTTCTTTTACCGTCACAATGATTGGTTACAAGTACCCGTTAGATCTAGAAATCTTGCACCGTTGAACTGGTGAGTATTTACCGCTGTAAGTTAAACTAGTATGTTGTAAGTTACCGCTGTTAATCATCGCAAAGTAAGGAAACTAGCAGAAGCTCGAAAAATGAGGATTTTAAAAAGATCGCGAACTCTACTATAGAAGATCAGTGGAAAAAAATAGGATACTGTATTTTTGGCTAAAGATCAATATCCAACCTCCATTTCCCTTCCCATTTTCCCTTTTACCCTTCACTAATTTTTAATGTTTAAACATTTTCCCTTTCTTTTTTTCCTTTCTTTTTTCCTTTCTTTTTTTTCCTTTCTTTTTGGCTTCTTTCCACGCATAATAAGTCGATTTTGTCTTTTTTTTCGTCAAAATTTTTGCGGACAAAATTTCCTTTTTCACTCTCGATTAGCGATTCTATGAGCTGCGCACAAAGAAAAATCAATGCCATAATCGTTTACAATAACGACTACAATATAGACTTTCTATTAGATTCACTACATTTTTATATTTTCTACATAAGATTAGATATTCAACTATTTTAAAATATTAAATGTTTTTGCTGAAACCCGAGAAAATCAATCGGATCAGGTAAAAGTCGAGAGTTGTACTTTGTGCTAAAAATTGTAAACATAGAAAGCTGAATACTGTAACTGAATACTGTAACTGCAAGCTGTAACTACTGTAACTTTCCAGGCGAACCTATGCCGATCGCTATGAAGACGATGATTACATGAACGAAGAGGAAGAGGATCGATTGAGAGCCGAAGAAGAAGCAGAAGAAAGATGGAGATTGGAGAGAGAAAGTGATGAAAGAAGGGAAAGGGAAAGATTGGAACAACAGAGAATTTTGGATGAACAACCAACGTATACGGAAGGTTAGTGAAAATGAAAATGATATTGATAAGTACAGTACTGGACAATGAATTGACTACGGTAACAAACTCAACGAAAAGCTGAATATCTTCAATTTTACTCATTGTATAGCCGATCAAGCTTATCCGATAAAGCTTATCCGATCAAGCTTATCCGATCAAGCTTATCCGATCAAGCTTATCCGATAAAGCTTATCCGATCAAGCTTATCCGATAAAGCTTAGCCGATCAAGCTTATCCGATAAAGCTTATCCGATAAAGCTTATCCGATCAAGCTTATCCGATCAAGCTTAGCCGATCAAGCTTATCCGATAAAGCTTATCCGATAAAGCTTATCCGATAAAGCTTAGCCGATAAAGCTTAGCCGATAAAGCTTAGCCGATAAACCTTATCCGATAAAGCTTATCCGATAAAGCTTATCATACCAGTTCCTGGATGATAAAAACTTTTAGACAAAGACTTATCGCTTATTCGCTATGCATTTCTAATGATAATGTTCGATAAGGGAAATTATGGAATGATAATGCTTTATCATTTGCCTGTAAGCTTAAGGTTGTTTATTTGATACATATGATTGGTAGTACGGTTGGTAAGTTGGAGAAGAAAGCAACCGGGTCAGACGTGAACAATAGTGAAAAACAACAACAAGGCTTTATCATTGTTGTTCGTTACTTTGTTAAAGTCATTTTCCAGATCGTGACTACAGTGCTCAAGGCACATCATTCGCCGATTCTGTTCCACCGATTCCCAATCACGCGCCATCAACATCAATGGATATCCATCAACAAACGTCCGATTCAAGAAGGAATAGTGGAAGTACGGGAAGGGACAGTCGAAATGAGCCCTACAATTGGAGAAACGATGATAGACGGTTTGTTTTATAGGAATAATTTAGAATACTTGCCAAATTAGAATACTTGCCGCAATCGAAATATTGTTTTTCGAAATCAGCGTATTCCAAAGCTAAATTGATATTGTTTATTCCAAAAAAAAATTACAGAAATAGCTTTGAAAATAAAGAATTAGGAAATTTAGGTGTCTCAAATCTTAAAAATAAATGATCATTAACATAGCAATATGCAATATCAAAAATTTTCGAATTCACGACTTGATTCAAAGAAAAGGACAACAAATGGGGGTGGGACAAATGCGACTTTTTTTTTTGCTGGAAAAGGCCTTAGGCAAGGCCGTAGAGCTTCGAAAATATTTCCATAGAAGGGAATCGTATGCGTAGATTCCGAATTTCGACAAATCACACCTCGCTAACACGTCAAATTTGGGCTAAAAGGCAAAAACTACGCAACTTAACGCTTTTCCGTAGTTTTTGCCTTTTAGCCCAAATTTGACGTGTCAGCGAGGTCTGATTTGTCGAAATTCGGAATCTACGCATACGATTCCCTTATGGGAAACATTTTTGAAGCTCTACGACGTTTTCTAAGGCCTTTTCCAGCGAAAAAAAAGATGCGCTTTTGGCCGGGTGCACAAAAAAAGACAGCATTTGTCCCACCTCCGATTTTTCTAGATAAAAAGTGGTTTTGAAGATAAAAGGTTTCAAAATCGGACGTTTGATTTGAATGTATTCAATCGAACGATTTTAAAAATCGGTTTTAAAGTTTAAAATCGGCGTAACATAGATACTTACGCGTTATCATATTTAAAATTACTATTGGGTTGGTGGAAAAGTCCTTTCGGATTTTTTGGGAGAGTACCTTAAATTTGTCCAATTTTGACGTTTTATAGCTCATCCTAAAGCTGAATTCAATACGGATCGATTGGGAAAAACCGTTTTGAGATATCTCTTTTCTAAAAGTTTTTACAGCTATTTTAGTAAAGGGCGACAGAGCCAAAAAAATGGCTGTTTTCACGTTTCGGTAGTTTTTCGTGCAGAAACCTAGGCTAAAAACATGTTATTCGTGATCAGCGTCCAAAATAACCCCTAGACACAAATTTTCAGAATCTTAGCTAAAAATTTTTGACAAACATTGTCACCGGTGGAAGTCGAACCAGCGACCCTCAGATCAATAGCCTTTCTCGATTTTCCTTCGTTTTTCTCGTTTTTTCCTGAAATTCCTGAAAAAAGCCTTCTAACAACATCAAAAAAATGATAAAACAAAAAAAAGTGGAAAAACGAAGGAAAATCGCGAAAAGCGGTGGAAAGGCATTGATCTGAGGGTCGCTGGTTCGACTTCAACCGGTGACAATGTTTGTCAAAAATTTTTTGCTAAGATTCTGAAAATTTGTGTCTAGGGTTATTTTGGACGCTGATCACGAATAACATGTTTTTTAGCCTAGGTTTCTGCACGAAAAACGACGAACGTGAAAACAGCCATTTTTTTTGGCTCTGTCGCCCTTTACTAAAATAGCTGTAAAAACTTTTAGAAAAGAGATATCTCAAAACGGTTTTTCCCAATCGATCCGTATTGAATTCAGCTTTAGGATGAGCTATAAAACGTCAAAATTGGACAAATTTAAGGTACTCTCCCAAAAAATCCGAAAGGACTTTTCCACCAACCCAATATATTGTAAGAATGAAAGATCCTGCATAGATCCTTATCATCAACTTTCCTTATTCAGACCATCACTTGAGAACGCACGTGCTGGCTCGGCAATGCAACGAGAGGATCGACCAATGTAAGTTCTACACTAAATCAAGATAATAACTTACAGCAAACTAAAACGTAGAAAGATAAAAATAAGCTATAGATCAGTCTAAAAGATATTTATCTAATCTAAAAATTTGTGCATCTCATCAATAAGCTCTAGTTAGCATAAACAGCATAAACATCTTAGCATAAACACATTGCATATCGGGAAATTATGGAATGTGTCTAGTAAAGAATAAGTAAAGTCGAGGAATAAGCTTTAAACCTTTAATCTAAAATTTACGAAAATTTTAAAACTTTAATGCTATCTGAGAGTTGACAAATCTGAAAAAATGTAAAATTTCGGCTAAAGGAGCTCTTTTAATAAAGAGAACTAATAGAGAGCTCTAATAGAGAGCTAATAGAGAACTAATAGAGAACTAATAGAGAGCTCTAATAGAGAGCTAATAGAGAGCTAATAGAGAGCTCTAATAGATAACTAATAGATAGCTAATAGAGAACTAATAGAGAGCTAATAGAGAGCTCTAATAGAGAGCTAATAGAGAACTAATAGAGAACTAATAGAGAACTAATAGAGAGCTAATAGAGAACTAATAGATAGCTCTAATAGAGAGCTCTAATAGAGAACTAATAGAGAGCTCTAATAGAGAGCTCTAATAGAGAGCTCTAATAGATAGCTAATAGATAGCTAATAGAGAACTAATAGAGAGCTAATAGAGAGCTCTAATAGAGAGCTAATAGAGAACTAATATAGAAATAATAGAGAACTAATAGAGAACTAATAGAGAGCTCTAATAGAGAGCTCTAATAGAGAGCTCTAATAGATAGCTAATAGATAGCTAATAGAGAACTAATAGAGAGCTAATAGAGAGCTCTAATAGAGAGCTAATAGAGAACTAATAGAGAGCTAATAGAGAACTAATAGATAGCTCTAATAGAGAGCTCTAATAGAGAACTAATAGAGAGCTCTAATAGAGAGCTCTAATAGATAGCTAATAGATAGCTAATAGAGAACTAATAGAGAGCTAATAGAGAGCTCTAATAGAGAGCTAATAGAGAACTAATAGAGAACTAATAGAGAACTAATAGAGAGCTAATAGAGAACTAATAGATAGCTCTAATAGATAGCTCTAATAGATAGCTAATAGAGAGCTAATAGATAGCTAATAGAGAACTAATAGAGAGCTCTTCAATTGGAATAAGTCCAGTAGTTAACAACCTTTAGTGTACAATAGAGTTTAATTTAACATAAACATTAAATCCAACATAAACATTAAATTTAACATAAACATTTATATAAATACGCTTTTGAAACACGTTTTTCTTTAGGGTGACGATCGTCGAGGAGTCGAGTCTCCGAGAGAAACGCGAGAAGCGCGATCTGCACGAGCTTTGGCATTGGGCCTATCGACAAGTGTGCACAAATCTCGGATATAAGGTTTCATATTATCGAAATATATTTAATAAATTCGATTTTCATAGAAAAATGGAAACTATTGTAAACAATAATTATGAAAAAATCGGGTTTAAAACAAAAACAAAAACTGAATGGGTTCACTTGAGCTGGTTGGTATTAAAATCGGAGTTTTCCACTTTTAAATCAATCTATCAATAGCAAATTCTTGCATATAACTGTAAGAAGATTTAAAATGTTGTTATCTATCAAATTCTATAGAAATCAATACCAAAAAATTCAAAATTGCAAAAATCGACGTTATTTGTGTTCAGTGGTGTTTACAAATTGCATATGTGCCAGGGTTTTTGAAATTTCGTTATTTTTTCAATAAACATCTACTTTAATGTTTCACTTTTTGCGTTTTTTTCAATTTTTCCGAAAATTGTGGACTTTCGTGGCTTCCCTGGGGACTTGTGGGTGCTAAATCCCCGTCCCGTCCCGTTCCGCCCCCGTTCTCCCTTTTGACCCATCAATCTATCACATTTTCAGAAAGAATCTTATTTTTAGTCAGAAAATCTTATTTTTAGGTTTAAAACTTTATAAACTTTATAACTTTATAAGTTTTTTTGAAAAAGTTTACTCGCTCGACCGTAAATTTCATCTAAAAGTCAAGAATTGTAAGCAAAGGAAAAAGTCGGGGAGTAATTGGCGGTGTTTTTCGAGAAAATTTCTCCCTTTTTCCAAAAACAAAGCGACTTTTTTTGCGACTTAAGTGGCCCCTTTGGAAAAGTGAAAGAAAATTTCTGTTCTCAACGAATTTAGTTTCAAATCAGAAGCTTTTAACTTTAGTAATATTACATTCGTGGTTTGCGCCTTGCGGTTTGCGTTAAAAGTCACGTAGATTTAACAGATTACGGTATTTACACTATTAGTACTGCGCAGTACTATTTACGTGACGGCTCAGACCGCAGCACTATTAGAGGTGCAGTACTAATAGAGTAAATCGCTTCACAGAACGGCCCCATGGAACCGGTCACATGGAACCGACCCAACAGGACCGGTCACATGGAACCGACCCAACAGGACCGCCCCATGGAACCGACCCAACAGGACCGCCCCATGGAACCGCCCCATGGAACCGATCCAACAGGACCGCCCCATGGAACCGCCCCATGGAACCGCCCCATGGAACCGCCCCATGGAACCGCCCCATGGAACCGCCCACATGGAACCGCCCCATGGAACCGCCCCATGGAACCGCCCCATGGAACCGATCCAACAGGACCGCCCCATGGAACCGCCCCATGGAACCGATCCAACAGGACCGCCCCATGGAACCGCCCCATGGAACCGATCCAACAGGACCGCCCCATGGAACCGCCCCATGGAACCGCCCCATGGAACCGCCCCATGGAACCGCCCCATGGAACCGCCCCATGGAACCGCCCCATGGAACCGCCCACATGGAACCGCCCACATGGAACCGGCCACATGGAACCGGCCACATGGAACCGGCCACATGGAACCGGCCACATGGAACCGGCCACATGGAACCGGCCACATGGAACCGGCCACATGGAACCGGCCACATGGAACCGGCCACATGGAACCGGCCACATGGAACCGGCCACATGGAACCGGCCACATGGAACCGGCCACATGGAACCGGCCACATGGAACCGGCCACATGGAACCGGCCACATGGAACCGGCCACATGGAACCGGCCACATGGAACCGGCCACATGGAACCGGCCACATGGAACCGGCCACATGGAACCGGCCACATGGAACCGGCCACATGGAACCGGCCACATGGAACCGGCCACATGGAACCGGCCACATGGAACCGGCCACATGGAACCGGCCACATGGAACCGGCCACATGGAACCGGCCACATGGAACCGGCCACATGGAACCGGCCACATGGAACCGGCCACATGGAACCGACCCCACAGGACCGTCCCATGGAACCGTCCCATGGAACCGTCCCATGGAACCGTCCCATGGAACCGTCCCATGGAACCGACCCCACAGGACCGTCCCATGGAACCGACCCCACAGGACCGTCCCATGGAACCGTCCCATGGAACCGACCCCACAGGACCGTCCCATGGAACCGACCCCACAGGACCGTCCCATGGAACCGTCCCATGGAACCGACCCCACAGGACCGTCCCATGGAACCGTCCCATGGAACCGACCCCACAGGACCGTCCCATGGAACCGGCCGCATGTAACCGGCCGCATGGAACCGGCCACATGGAACCGGCCACATGGAACCGGCCGATGGAACCGGCCGATGGAACCGGTCCCGTGGAATTTGTGCTATTATTATTATTATTTCGAATTTCGAATTCAATTTAGTATTATTGAATTGTGGACCCTCCACCCTTGAGCCTCCAACTTCCGGCCGTCAAATTTTGCGAATCGAAAATCTCCCCAAAAAGCATCGATTCCACTCACCGGAAGTCAGCCGACACTTCAAGAAAAAAAAGAAAATAGATTTCTTGAACATTTCAGTTCGTTTTCAGTTCAGCTTTACATTTTCAGCTTTGATCTTTGATGTTATTGAATCTTTTCGAACGGTTTTCCTTGCAGAAGACCAATACTTTCTTCGGCTACCCTTTCTTGGGCCGGATAATCAAGTTGTATGTACTTCTTTGTGCTCAACTTTGTAAACACACCCTTACACACTACATTCTTTACTTCTTTACTTCTTTACTTCTTTACTTCTTTTCTTCTTTTCTTCTTTTCTTCTTTTTTTTCTTTTTTTCTTTTCTTCTTTTAAAGTGAACTTTTCCTGTTTAAAGTAATCGATTTTCTCAATTTCTTTTCTTTAGCAAAAAAAGGCACATTGTTTTGCGGCCGATAATTAGGGGTCGAAAAGAACAAAATGGGCCGCAAAATCTTTTCTCATTTGAAAGTTTTCAGATAATCAAGTTGTATGTACTTAGAAATATCTTTATTTTTATATTTTCTTATTTTTTTATCTTTAGAATTCAAGAATTCAAGGCTTTTCCTCGTCTAATCTTAGTTGGAGCAGTTGGAATTGATCAATTTCAATGGATAATCGAGATAATTAGAGAAAAGTGTGTTCAGGCACAAAAAAAGTGAACAAAACACAAAGTGAACAGAGATCGGAGGAGAAAAATTCAAAATTTCCCCTCTTTCCCACCGGATACACTTGAGAAATTTGAAGAAAATCGCTGAGTTTTCAAATTTTCAAGGCTTTTCCTCATCTAGCTTAGTTGGAACAGTTGGAATTGTTCAATTTCAATAAACAAAAAGCCACCAGTAAAAAGCTTGACTTGAATTAAATGGTTTGTAGATCAGTTTAAGCAGATCAGTTTAAGCAGATCAGTTTAAGCAGATCAGTTTAAGCAGATCAGTTTAAGCAGATCAGTTTAAGCAGATCAATTTAGGCTTACAAAGTGCTCCTGTTAGACCTTGTTGTTAGAGTTTGTTGTTAGACCTTGTTGTTAGACACTGTTGTTAGATTTTCTTGCTAGCTCTTTGGCTTTTACTATTCCAGACTGAAAGCAGTAAAGTTCATAGTTATAAAGTCACTCTTGTTCCACGATAAAGTCTAGGTCAGCCCTAGATTCATCTTCATTAATTTTCATGAATCTTCATGAATCTACAGGCATCTATAGGCAAAAATCGACGCTTTTTTTTGCCACTTTCTTTCTAAGAACTGTTTAATGCTAAAAATATGTGTTATAGCTCAAATCCAGAGTTTATATATTACGATAGAATTCGACCACACGACGGAATCGGATTTTGTTGTCAAACTCGGATTTTGTTGTCTGAATCGGATTCTGTTTGACAACAGACTCGGATTTTGTTGTCTGAATCGGATTCTGTTGTCTGAATCGGATTCTGTCGTCAGGATCCGATCCTATTCCATTAGAGCTTTCTATTAGAGCTTTTAGCTTCTAACGTCTTTCTGTCATTTTAAAAAAACATGTCAACTTCCTAAAATCTGCCTTAATCACCCTTTGCTAATGTTCAATTTCAATATTCTTTGTATCATTAGATGCGCCAAGACTTTCTCTGTCGATTGATACAAAAACTATTTAAATTGAGCAGCCCAACACCAAGATATTTGAGTTGAAAGCTGCATTGCCAATGGCAAAGGGGCGACGGACCTTTTATATGCTCCCCACCCTCTTTGCCATTGGCACTCTAACTTTCAACTTTGGACAGCTCAACATCAAGATATTTGAGTTCAAAGTTAGATTGCCGATGGCGAAGGGGCGGGATGCCTAGGTCCGTTCGTCCGTCGGTCCGTCGCCCCGCCTTCTCTGCCATTGGCACTCTAACTTCCAACTCAAATATCTTGATGTTGGGCTGTTCAATTTAAATATTTTTTGTACCAATCGACAGAGAAAGTCTTGGCGCATCTAATGAAACTAAGCATATTTAAATTGAACAGCTCAACACGAAGATATTTGAGTTCAAAGTTAGATTGCCAATGGGGGGCCATCAAATGTCCCACAATCTTTCCTAAATGTCAGCAGGCCTGCCTTTTTAAAAGAAAATAGCTTCTCTTGTTTAATCTATTATTAAAAATCAATTGTTAATGTTTTAAAGTTAATTTATCGGCTTTTATCTCTTTTATCGGCTTCTATCTATCGGTTGCCGGCCTTTTTAAAGGGAAATAATCATCTTCAACCCTAGAGTGTTCTTGTGAACCCAAAAAAAGAAAGAATGTCTTCAATTTTGTCTCTTTTCCAAAAAACCCTTCATAAAGGCGAGCATTTGGGTGTGTGTTGTGAGTGTGGATAGCCCCTGGGGGGCATAATGAATTCCCTAGCCAGTGTGCCCGAGTCCCAGTGTAGCTCCACAGCTCTCTCCACAGCTTCACCCATCCACAGCACCCATTCTGAACGAAAAGAGATGAGCGAAAATGACACTCCATTTTCTTCTTCTTTTCATTTTCCATCGTCTTTTTCGAGCTTCTCACTCACTTCATTTCTGGACCTTTCCCCCCTTTTCTTACTTCAGTTTTCCTCTCAGCAGTTATCGACTTTGAAACCTCGGGTGTGGACTCCTTTTTCTGGTTATTTTAGTCATGAGAATCTATTTAATACTACAAATTCTAAGTA